AAGTCAAGGGAAGGGTGAATGAGCTTTCCATGACACAAGGGTCAATGGAGAGACTTTTCCTTTGGAAGGAGAGAGGGGAGACAACTTTGGACGAGAACTAACGAGTTCCATCACTTGGGGAAAAGAAGGATTACTTAATAAAGTAATAACATGATGAACAAGCACGGTGACAACCATATAAAGCAAATTAAAGGTGAAGAATGTAATCACAAAATATGCATTAATGACGATCAAAGCGAACAAGTAAGCAAGAAATGTAACGACAGATCAAGCTTCAAATAAATAAGGGGAAAAACATAAATCATGGTGACAACCAAAAGGAAGATAAATCCTAACATGTTGAGTAACATGGGAAGCAGAGATCTCACAAGGAAAATTCAACATTGTACAGAGGATTCAATCAATAAACAAGATAACGATCAAACATGAACATTCTTCCACATAGGCACAAAACATCACAATTAATGGTAATATGCAATATTTTTACATCATATGAAAGAAGACATCAAAATAAAAGCATTTCAAAAAGAATCAACAAAAAAAGATAAAAAATGAGAGAGTTATGATTTTATGAAGTTCATGTAAAAAATGTACAAGGCATATTTAATAATGCTAAAACAAATAAAAAAGTGAAAGGGGTGGGAGTTGAACCCACGCCCCCTTGGTTCATGCGCGCAGGTGGAAAAAATGGAAAAAACAAAAAGGGTTCAACCTCCACACGAATCGAACCCATGCAAGCATGGTGAAAGGCGCATTTGGTGACAAGGTGATTACCACTGGGGTGGCTGTACATCCAAGTACAAATGCCACCCCATTAAAATATATGGGATACTTCTATGGATTTCTGGGCAAATATGAAGAGCCAAGGTCAAGCACAAACTGGTTTACATTTTGATTCATATCTTAACCAATACTTAATGAAATCAGGTGAAATTTTAGTCAAAATTGTGTGGAATCTCATGAGGAACATGATGGCACTGCTAGTTTTTTAAAATACCCCCCACAATTTAAAACCCGATAGTGTGTGCAAAGTGATCACCTTGAATGCATTTTGAAGTCAAGCTCAGGTTCCAGTTAGTTTTAAATCAAACCAGTCACATACACACACCATGAATATGCTGTTGAATGAAATCAAGCACAAGAAATAAACTCAAAACAGTTTGTAATGCAAAGTGATGCTCAAATGGCAAACATGGTATGTTGATGCATAATGGATGCTCAGTTCAGTTCTATGCATTCTCAAATCAAGCAGGCCACATACACACATTACAAATATGTCCATGAATGATTTTGAACTCAAAGATTTAGCCTAAACAGACTGTGATGAAGAATAAGGTTCAAGTTGCAAATTGATGTTTTGATGAAATGCAAGATGATGCTCAAATCCAGTTTAAAGCATAATCAGACCAAGTAGCTCACATACACACATTGCAAATATGTTATCAAGTAAGTTCCAGCACAAGATTGGTTTCAAAACAAGCTGTAATGAAAAATGAGGTTCCAACTGCTACATGGTGTTTTGGTGAAGCATGAAAAAGTTCAGTTCATGTTCTAGGCATATTTTGATCAAGTAAATCACATACACAGATTACATATCCATAGACAAATGAGTTTGAACAATGAGATTGGTTCCAAAAGGGGTGATATGAAAACTGATGAGTTAAATGCAAATGGACATTTTAGATGCAAGTTGAATGACCAGTTCATGTTTTATGCAAAATCATGGCAAGCAAATCATATGCACATACCACATATATGTTGTTTGAATGAATTCAAGCATCAAAACAAGTCAAAATGGTCTGTGGTGAAAAGTGGTATTCTAGTTGCAAGATTGACATATGCAATGTATCAAAATGTTCAAATCAAGTTTAAAGCACAATTACATCAGGTGGACCATACACACATATCACATACATGGAAATAAATGTGCTCATGCTCAAGAATTAGTTACATTGCAAACAGAACAGGTTTTGGTATATCTCATGGCAGCTTTGGCTTTGAAAATGCAATTTGAGAGTGACAAATTTTGACCCTAGATTTTATCATCATTCTAGGAGCATCATACATTTCACTGGTAACCCTAACCTTATGCAAATTCCTTTTGTTTTATTTCATCCATGAATTAGGGTTTTGAATCAAGAAGATATTTGTTTGATCAGTCAATGTTTTGGATTGATCATCAACCTACCAAGTGTGCATGCGCTCAAGAGGCCTCTTTATCAAGAATCAAATGCAAATTGGTCTTGTTACAAGTTTATCAAGGCTCAATTCCATCTGATCACAAATAAGGGTTTCATCAAACAAAGTCAATTGTGCCTTTGAATTTTGATCAAGACATGATCCCAAGCCTTGGGATATGATTCAAGATATTTCAAGAGAGTTAAATAGCTACAGCAAGCAAGAGTTATAGTTGTTAGGGTTGGAGAGACATTTCAATGAGATCAAGCATGCTTTAACTCTTGTGTGAATGAACCAAGTACTTGAGGATAAATCATTAGGCTATATGTATTTTTCATTGCATAGAAATATAAAAATGATGTAGTTTTATTGCCCATATATGGATATTCTAGAACATTTATATGTTATAAGTTAGGTTAAGAATTGATTAGTGGTCAATTAGAATTGATTAATAATAATATTGTATTAATAAGATTAATTGTATTATCTTATTTTATACATTTCATATGAATATAAATATACACTCAGTGTGATCTCATTAAACACACAATGTTATATACAAAAATACTCTTTTAATATAATATAAGAAGTTAAGGGTTTTACGATCTCTTCTTTTATTCCCTAACAACATTGTTGTACTGCCAGCTACCACTGATTCTGGAAACTTTCTAGCATATCACCCATACAGACATAAGCATATGCTACTATTCGGGCCAGCCCCATAAAATTTCCCCAAACCACCTTCACACGCGCCGCTGTAACACCCACGCATGACAACGTGTCCGACAACCGATCCTGATGAGTTTTCTGTCGCCCCACTCGCCTACCTGTTTTGGTTCTAGATTCGACCGCAAATTTTATTTTTGTCGCCCCACTCATAGAAAATTGTGTTTCAATTCAAATGACCCATATTTCACCGTGTTTGCACGCTTATTCAGCCACCAGCTCTCATGAGAGATCACTCAACCACTGATTCTGTAACTTTCACCAAAGAGAAGAAACAAGTGGACTAGATGACCCAACATCAAGATATTCGATGAAGAAAATGTGAACACATGACTCAACCTTAGGAGATCTCGTCATGAAAAATATGACCATGTGACTCAACCTTAAGAACTCTGGTAGTGAAAAATATGAATCAGGTGATTTAACATCAAGATATCGGATAATGAATGGAATATATAACTTACATGGATATAATGTCTGAAAATTTGTGTGAATTGAATATCTTCCTTGTATGACTTTCAATACGAAATATTACTTTAAGCTCTCACAACTCTTATTACTAGATCGGATTGTTCGATAGTATTGGGAAAAACCCAAGTCCCACATTGGTTAAAAATACAATCTACAAAGGGTTTATATAGAGTGACATCCCTCACCTTACCAGCCGGTTTTGTAGGATTGAGTTAGACCCAACCACATTTCATAACATGGTATCAAGAGTCTTTTTAAGATATGGTGGGCCACCTACTATGGTTTCCGCTATCAGGTCATCCACCATTTATTTTCATGCTTCAATTGTCTAGTTCTGAGCGCGAGGGGGTGTTAAGAGTTCCGCGTCGGATAATGTATGGCATAAATATGTGTTTATAAGTGGGTTAATCCTCACCTTACCAATCGGTTTTATAGAGTTGAGTTAGGGAAAAATGTAATTCTATCATGGTGTCATGAGTCTATCGATTTGGACCATCCACCATTTATATATGCCCACCAAGCATAAAAAATGTTGGACGCAAGGGGGTTTATTGGAAAAACCAAGTCTCATATATCGATAATTCAGGCCACCCACCGTTTATATCCATGCACCAAGCCCAATAGTGCTTGGCGTGAGAGGGTGTATTGGGAAAAACCCAAGTCCCATATTGACTAAAAATATAATCTACAAAGGGTTTATATACAGTGACACCCCTCACCTTACCAACCAGTTTTGTAGGATTGAGTTAGGGCAAACTCTAATTCTATCAGATAGTGAAATGAAGAGAAAATATTTTTTTATTTATTTTAATTTTAACTATTTATAAAAGGGTGTAATAGTCAATTTAGATACAATTTATGAGTGAAGGGATAATTGTTAAAGTATTGGATAAAAGTTCTCTTTTACTACACATATAAAATTTTGGCCCAACCCATGCTAGAAAGTTAGAGTAGCTCGACGCTTCTACTAAACCACAATGACTTTATTAAAATTAAAATTAATTATTCTTCTCCTTCTCTCTGTCATTAATGCATATTTGAATGCATCAAGTTAGTGATACACTCTGCTAACATGTATACGCTGGTTAATGCATCTTTGAATGTATCAAGTTAGTGACGATGGTGTTATAAATATGTAATATGTAACCTATATCTTTAATTGTTAGAATATACAAAAAAGTGATTAGAATTTGAGGTTAAGAAATTTTCACATAAATGTTGAACAAACATAACCAAAATTGTTTGATGTAGTTTCTTAATGTGATCACATAAGTGATTTAAATCACACCATAATTGCCATCTGATGTCATTGTTGAAGTTACCGCAACATCAATATTGATAGTAAAATATGGGAACACTAGAGTGGCATGACACAAGTAGTTAAGTTGTTGTGTTTGGATTTTAATAACAGAGAATTGAGTTTGGTAAACAACTGAAAGTTTCACTAGCAATCTCTTCACCTCACAAGAGTAAACAATTATTCAAAAAGCTTAAATACATAAATACATCATACATACTTAGTAATCATTCAAAATAAAGCAGCAAACTTCTTTTTTAAATATACTCCACCATAGATTGAAGTTTATTACATTTATGCATCATATTTAGTGAGACTTGGTCCTAGCTCAAAATCCTTTGATTTCACCATCAATTTCATTATTTCCATAAGCTGAAATGTTAGGTCTTGGCTCGAAATCTTCAATTTCTCCCTTCTTTTCCTTAACTTCAATGTCATTTTTTCCATATGCTGAAATGTTAGGTCTTGGTTCAAAATCGTCAATGACTCTCTTCTTTTCCTTAACGTCAATGTTGATTCCTCCATAAGCTGAAATATTTGGTCTTGGTTCGAAAACTTCAATTTCTCCCTTTTTTCCCTTAACATCAATGTCATTTTCTCCATATGCTGAAATGTTAGGTCTTGGTTCAAAATCTTCAATGGCTCCATTCTTTTCCTTAACGTCAATGTCGTTTCCTCCATAAGCTAAAATATTTGGTCTTGGTTCGAAATCTTCAATTTCTCCCTTCTTTTCCTTAACATCAATGTCATTTTCTCCATATGCTGAAATGTTAGGTCTTGGTTCAAAATCTTCAATAGCTCCCTTCTTTTCCTTAACGTCAATGTTGTTTCCTCCATAAGCTGAAATATTTGGTCTTGGTTCGAAATCTTCAATTTCCCCCTTCTTTTCCTTAACATCAATGTCATTTTCTCCATATGCTGAAATATTAGGTCTTGGTTCAAAATCTTCAATGGCTCTCTTCTTTTCCTTAACGTCAATGTTGTTTCCTCCATAAGCTGAAATATTTGGTCTTGGTTCGAAATCTTCAATTTCTCCCTTCTTTTCCTTAACATCAATGTCATTTTCTCCATATGCTGAAATGTTAGGTCTTGGTTCAAAATCTTCAATAGCTCCCTTCTTTTCCTTAACGTCAATGTCGTTTCCTCCATAAGCTGAAATATTTGGTCTTGGTTCGAAATCTTCAATTTCTCCCTTCTTTTCCTTAACATCAATGTCATTTTCTCCATATGCTGAAATGTTAGGTCTTGGTTCAAAATCATCAATGGCTCTATTCTTTTCCTTAACGTCAATGTTTTTTCTTCCATAAGCTGAAATATTTGGTCTAGGTTCGAAATCTTCATTGACACCCTTTTTTTGCTTAACATCAATGTCGTTTTTTCCATAAGCTGAAATGTTAGGTCTTGGTTCGAAATCTTTTATGGCTCTCTTCTTTTTCTTAACATCAATGTCATTTTCTCCATATGCTGAAATATTAGGTATTGGTTCAAAATCTTTGACAACTTTCTTCTTTTCCCTATCGTCAAATGAATGCTTCAGAGTCTTAAAATTCTTTTTAGTATTTTCGTCAAGGAGTCCTTGAATTACTTCAGGCATATCTTGTTGTTTCATTACTAGCTTCCAATATTCTCCTAGATCCTTTCTTGATTCGACAATACCTACAATCTTTTTGGAAAAAAAGCAAAGAAAATATATAAGATAGAAAAGTATTAGTCCCAAAACCCACTCAATATATTATTTTGTTATCTTTTAAAACAATTATATAACGAAATTTCGTAAAAGACTATAATCCTTCTTTTTTTTTAAAGGTGAAAACTGAAGTTATTTAAAGTAACACTAATGTCTATCTTATAATCGACTTTCGAGAATTTAAAGAGTGTGTATTGATAGTCATAAACAAACTAACTTAATTTTTAAAACAAATACTCCTTATAATATATATATATATATATATATATATATATATATATATATATATATATATATATATATATATATATATATATATATATATATATATATATATATATATATATATATATATATATATATATATATATATATATATATATATATATATATATATATATATATATATATATATATATATATATATATATATATATATATATATATATATATATATATATATATATATATATATATATATATATATATATATATATATATATATATATATATATATATATATATATATATATATATATATATATATATATATATATATATATATATATATATATATATATATATATATATATATATATATATATATATATATATATATATATATATACAACATAGGAATTGGGGGCAGCTGCCCCCACTATTAAAAAAATTTTTGTTAATTAATATATTAATATTTGAGTTAATGTATTACTTAAACTAGTGAATTGCCCCCACTAAATAAAACTCATATTATTAAATAAATGTAAGGAATTTTTTTCATTCTCAACGTTTCTATTTAAATGATTATTTTATATTTTTATATATATTAAAATAGTATAATTAATGTATTATGAAATTTAATATTAATAAAAATTAAAATGTATTTAATTTAAATTTCAATTACATTTCATTTATTTATGTCAAACAATAAAGTAGTCATTATGCATATCAATTTATTAGTTATTTTTTTAAAAATATTTATTATATCATATATAATATTGTCCTCACAAATAAATTTTTTTGAATCCGTACATACATATATATATATATATATATATATATATATATATATATATATATATATATATATATATATATATAGTTTGTAAATGATATCTATTTATTTTTATTAAGGCCTATTTTAACAAGTTTTACACACACACACACACACACATATATATATATATATATATATATATATATATATATATATATATATATATATATATATATATATATATATATATATATATATATATATATATATATATATATATATATATATATATATATTATTATTTTGTAAAGAGAATATTTAAAATAATTTATTTAAAAGTTAAATAGTGAAGTAGTATTATTATGAATGTATTTTGGAAGGTTGGTGTGAATTTCCTTTTATTTATAATCTATAAAAGAAGTAAATTTACTAAATATGAAAGCTTTTGCTAAATCTACTTTTGCCTCCTGATAAATTAGTTCCTAAAATTAAGAAAATCATTTCAGTAATTTTATTTTATGTAAGAACGATACTATCACTCTCCCGCATTATAATAAAACACATGTATAATTTATAAAAAAAGAATTGTATAATATTGAAAAATGGTGTCTATTAATGTTGCTTTCAAGTTTAGAAAATGAAAAATAAAAACGAGAGGATATTACTAAAGTGAAACATACCAAGAGAAGAAAGAGAGGCAATAATGCAAAAGCAGGTCTGAGTCTGATCATGTTTGAGATTTTTGTTTTTGGATGAATGATTCCTATTACTACTTAATCACCTATTTATAGCTAAATCACAGATACCACGTGATCCACCACGTGCTTCTTGCTTTCAAAATTATTGAAGCTATCTATCATAAACTAAATTTGCTACCGACTTCTCAAGTGCTATATAGTTACTGCTTAATAATAGTAGAAATTGATTTTTTTTTTCTTTAGGGTTTGAAAATTGTATCTTATTAGATTAGTGGAAAATTCCTATATCTTTCGGAATTTTGTTTTGAATTTGATCGGTGTTGTTTTTAGTTTGTTTGTTTTTCTTTAGTATTGTTGATTTTTAATTTTGGATTTGGTACTCTTTATAACTTGTTCTGCCTTGGGCCCAGCCTCGCGGTCCAGCCCAATAACGCACAAGGCCCAATAAGTGGGGTAGCTTGACCGGGCGCACAACCCCCACCGGACGGGCAGGATACGCTCCCTGTCAAGCCGGACGGCGTGCTTCTAATTGTCCCCGGCGCTCCCCCTAGTCGGACAGAACGACCTCCACGGGCAGAATCCCCTTGTCGCTACTGCGAAAATCGGCGTCGGCTGAACAGAAGAGTCGCCACCGTGCGTTATTTATCCCACGGAAGGGAAAGGGAACGCTCAGAGTAAACCTAACGCAAAGACGGGAAAAGGTATGGTCATCGCAACCAAAACCTGGGTTCGGGAGTCGGTTACGCAAGGGGAAGGTATTAGCACCCCTCACGTCCGTCGTACTCGACGGGATCCACGCTTGTTTTCGGGTATGGATTGTTATTCTATCTACGCTAAAGGTCTGGGGTTAAAAAGAAAATAAAATAAAAATAAAAATGACTCGGCAAAGTATCACACTTTATGCCTACGTATTCCCGTCTGGAACGAGAAATCAGAGTCAACGTAGTTCGCCTACCTACGGGAAAGGAGGGGAAGGTTGCTCGCTAGGATATCGCATCCTATGCCTACGTACTTCCACACAGCATGGAAGATCAGAGCAAACGTAGTTCGGGCTACGTACGACACAAGTCTGTCCTTGATTGATTTTATACCTTCTGAAAAAGGGTTTTCTGATTACTGGTCCAAGCGGACAAAAGTGACGTCTTGATGAGTTCACATTCTTTTACGGAAGAAGTGTCTTTTATTGTGTTTGAAATCTTTATGTGTTTTTCTGTTTGTTTTGAGAGAGAAGAGACAGGACTCTAACCTACGGTTGCGAAGGGAATCAGACTAACCTAATGTTATCATGCATGGGTTAAGACCTAGTGTCTATCATGCTCCTCTCTTGCACAGAGAGAAACAGAGGTCCTACGGGATAGGCAGAAACAGAAACAATAACAGATATAATAAAGCGGTAAAATGCATGGATGCAACAGTACAAGCGAGGCAAGGGAGTCTCACTCAACCTCGAACCTAGAAAACAATAGGCGAAAGTGAACAGGCTTCACTTTCAACCCAACAGGGTAAACAACAAACAATACAACCAGGAAATCCAAACAATACATCAGCAATGAAATACAACAGCAAAAGAAACAGCATCAGCAGCTCTGAATCAACATCTGGCTTCAAGTAATCTCCAATCAGCTACAGGCTTCAACAAGCATCAATCTCCATCTTCATGGCCTTCAGGCAAGGGCTTTGATCATCAATCTTCCATCTGCAATGGCTTTTCTTCCAGCTCAAACCTCCAGGATGAGGGATCAGTCACAAGAGTGAATTGGGTGTTAAGCAATCAGTTGACTACCAAAGGTGGTGAACAGACTGCTTCTAACACAAAAGATATTTTCTCTCAAGAGTTCTATCTCTTAGACACTATCACCAAGCCTTCCAAAGGAAGGGGGTGAGTGTCTTAGAGAGACTCTGAATCATAGAGAAAGGATGGATGCAGACAAGGCAATCCATGTTTGAGAAACAAGCTTTCTACTCTAGAGCTCTGCCTAGCTCCTAAACCCTAATCTCCACAGCAGCTGCTAGCAAGAACCTCCTCTCCAACTCTGGCAGTTGATCTTCAATCTCTGGCTCTCCAATGGCTTCAACTTCACAAGTCTTCAGCTCTCCCAGGTCTCCAGACAATCCCAATACCCAAACAAACAAATCAATAATCCCCAGAGGGCACACCACACTAGTCAATCAGACATACAGTACATTAATAGCAGTAGGGGGAATCCTAACTTTTCTAGGGGATCTAATAACTACCCATAGCCCCTATAGTCCCATAACTAAACTAGTCAAACCCTAAGTCCTAAGGGAAAAGAATCAAATCTCCTAAGTCATCACCTAAAACCCTAGTTTTATTCATGTTGTTCACACTTACACTAAGCACCTAAAATTAATTTCTAAAAAAGGGAACTAAATTGTTTCTACAAGTTTAATGTCTAAACTAAACAACCTAAAAAAAATGGACAAAAAATATTAAAGCATCTAGTAGAACAAAAATTAACAAAATCATGTATGAAATGAAACTATTTAAAATGCTATTTATTTGGAAAATATGGGAAAAATATCAAATAAAAAATAAAATGCAATTTTTATTTTTTATAATTTTCTAGACTCTTTAAAGAAAATGATGCAAAAAGAATGAATTAAAAATATGCAATCTCTAATTTGTTATGAATTTTCAAAAATGAAATGTTGAAGTTCAAGTATACTACTTAAAACCCTAATTAAACTATCCTAAGTTCAATTATCTAAACTAACCAAATTTTATTCTAACAAATCTAGTAATAAATTCTGGGAATACTACAATTCAATATTAATCACCACAAAAAAGAATGGGCAAAAAATCTATTTCTAAGTGTAAGAACAAAAATCTACAAGATCATGTATGAAATAAAACCCTCAAAATATGCATTTATTTGTAAAATATGTGGAAAATGCGAAAAAAATATAAAATGCAGTTTTCATATATTTTTAATTTTCTAGACATGTTAAGGAAAATATTAAAAAAAGAATGAGTTAAAAATATGCATTTTCCATTTAGTTATGAATTTTTGAAGATGAATGAAACAAAAAGGAAAATGAATACGAAATAGAAAGAAATAATTGGAAGGGGTGCAAATAGAAAGAAATGATAGTTGAAATCGTTGGGCCTGGAATCAAGGGGGGGTGCGAAAAGTGAAGAGAGCCCAAAGACCCTCATTAAAATTCAGATTTAATGTCAGCCGTCCGATCCTGGTCAAGTCAACAATATCTTTCCAATCCAAGGGTTGTGGTTCATCTTCTTCAAAGAAACCCTAACCTTCATGAAAACTCCATTTCATGCATGAAACTTCCAACGATCCGTTCTCCCTCCTCAAGCCATGAAACAGCACGAAATTAAAACCAAAAATGATTCTCTTCTCGCCCTCTACACAGCCATGGCTTTATCTCATCTTGAAACTCTCTCTAGCCTTCAAACCGACAACAACAAGGCACGGGTACCACCATGAATGCTCACTTTTCAACTCTAACAAACCTTGAAAATAATGATGCCAATGTGTTCCTCTTGCTTCCATGAGTATACTAAACTATAACACATGCACTAAAACCTCATATTTCAAGCTTTCTTGATCAACCAAGAATTGACACCACATCTTGAACCTCCATGGATTGACCTTAAACTCACCATAAATGATCCTTAAGTGGTCTCTATCATGAATATCACAACAACTAACCCTAACCATGCATAATTATGGTGATTCGAATCAAAACGTATCCTTACCAATTGGATATGGTGATGGTTGCTATGCCCTGTTTCAGCCCTTGCCAATGGTGCCAAATGATCTTTATATGATGGTGATGATGCTGGTGAAGAGAATTCGTGCTTACACCTCTTGAAAATGCCAATTCGAAGCTTCACGCCTCTTGGAGTGATGGAGGAGAACTCACAATCCAGCCACGATTTGATGTGCCTTCTTCGTGCTTTTTACTCTACAACAATGGAGGATGATGATGATGATGATGATGATGATGATTTCTAGAATGTATCACGTAATGAGATTTTGAATTTGTCATCTTGAGTGAATCTCATGCCATCTCATGATAAACCATGCAATCTTACTTAAATTCTCCCCATATGGTATTATGACATGAAAATAAGGTCTTACAAACCTTTATGTAGCATTTTCCCATCTTTCCTTTTGATGCCTTAAAGTGCAAGTAACAAATTTACAAAGCAACTCCAATTTTTAAGCCTAAACTCAAAAATGTGGCTAAACCATTGTTTCCAAAATGTTGTTTCCAATCAAAATCATCTATCATATGCCCCATTTTGGATTTGTAGATCTCTCAAACCAAAATCTAATTTCAACTTTTTTAACTTATAAGCCTTTTTAGTTCATTTTGACCATTTTAAAATATTCATGCTCCATGCATTTCCAAACTCTCAAGACCTCTTATCTAGCCTTAAAATCACATTTTGAACAACTTTCATGTTGGAAAATTTTTCCATTTGAAGCTTGGAAGTAGGAGATATGGCCTTTGCTTAAAAATGACCTATAACTGACAAATGACCAAAATACCCCTGTCTTGTTCAAACCATAAGTTGAGTTCCACAAATCCTATCAAGGACTTCTACCACTCAAATTAAAGCTAAGAAGATGCCCTCCACCATTCATGTTGACCAAGAAATCATAGGAATCATCCTACTAGGGCAAAAGTTGTCTGCAAGTTGGGTGACTTTCAAGGACCCAGCTTCACACACCTCTGCTGACCTGTAATTTGTCAAAACTATAACTTGAGCTCTGCAACTCCTATCAAGGACTTACACTACTCAAATTAAAGCTAAGAACAAGCTCTACAACATTCATGTTGTGGGGAAGATGAGATATCAATCACATCTAGAGCTAAAACTGCCTGGAAGATAGGGAACAAATTAGGGTTTTTTCACTGACAATCCTTGGAAACCCTGACTTGAAACTTCTCAAACTCCTCACTCATGATGAGTTGGTCTAGGAATCACCTTTATAACATCTCTAGACATCATTCCATGATCTCATGGCCCTTGGATTAGGTCT